GGGGCACCTGCTGTTGATCTCCTAATCAGCTCCCACCCAAGGCTGGCCAGACCCTGGGTGAAAATCAGTCAGGAAGGTCCTGGTTGTGGGCATCATCCATATACCAACCCTCATTCAGGGCTGGGGGTTTAACCCCAGCACTTCAGGTACACAAGACAAAGTTCTATCGAGGCAATGCCGAATAACAAGTCACCATTCCTACTGCATCATACTATATTGCAACTACATTATTTTTCATGCTTTGGAGAATGTTGTACCTGACCCGTATGCCTGCGCGTTTGGAGGAGGCCTATTGTGTTCATGATCTCTGAGAGCAAATCCATGTAAGAGCCTCAAACTCATTAGATTTCTATAGTGCTGCTAGATGAAGACTGTAAGAGTATTAAAGGTGCACACTTAAGGGCATGTCACTTAAGTGAGGGGCAAAAATGTGGTAGCTTTAATATGGGTTAGTATGAGGCACACATGGGGGCAAAGAGGAAAGGAAAAAATTAGTGTGTCTCCTTTCCTTCCTGTGCCACTACCTCTGAGGGAAAGAAATTTTCAGGAGGAGTACTCTAGTACCTGCTCCTACCACGTGGTCCATGGTGGGGAACCTTTTGTACACAGCTGTGCTCACAGAGCGAAAGATCAGCAGCGATGTTAAATTCACGTAACGCATGAGAGTCCTCCTCAGCAAGCGCCCGTACTCGTCTCTGCCCTGGACACAGCTAGAGATGAGGAACATCAGTCGATCTGGCCACGGCAAGTTCACAAACTGGTTCCACCAGCGATTCACCACCAAAGTAACGTAGAAACCTGGGGGTTAGAAGGAAAAACATGAAAGCCCAGTGCCTATCAGGATTTCCGTTTAGGTTACTTCGATTTATTTTGCACAGTGTCACTAAGCTGCTACATTTCCCAAAATAAATGCAGTAAGTCGTGTCAAAACCCAAGAGGCAATTAATGCTAATTATTTAGTAGACAGTGCAACTTAATGGCTTGTTCCAGCTGAGTATCTCATACTCATGAACTTCCAAGTTTTCTCTTCTGTAGTAAACCTTGAATCGGTTTAGTGCTTTAGAAGATCAAGCACAATATACCAGTATTAGTGCGCACTATATCTATATATACATAGGGAAACTTTTATCTTTTGTTGATATATTGAGAACATGACCATAAATGTTGACGTTACAAAAGCAACTCAAATTTAAGGACACCTATTTGAAGCTGAAGATTTTGTTGTGAAACTCTAACCTCCCACTGTGCCTCTCAGTTCTGAAATGCTTCCATGCATGGACAGTCACAAAATGCCTGAACAGAGACAGTATTGGGGAATAATAACACATGTAATCAGTACTTACCAAGCACAAAAGTTACAGGGATTTGTTCAGCATATTTGTCACAGTAAATTGATAATTTTTCAAAGAACCGTTTTTGGCTACCTGTAAGAAAAAATCTGCAGCAAATATAAAATGTATCTGTCCGTCCATAATATTCTGGCACTAGATGCAAAGTGCAGATAGGTATAAATAATCTGCTATGTGCAATTTGGAGCAACCTTGGGGAATGTCTTCAAGCAACTTAAAGGTAAAGTGATGAACACTTTTGGCATGTAATAAAGAAGCTGGGGGAGAAAATATTATTCCCTGGTCTTTGCAGTTTTCTTGTAACTAGTTTTACTGGCACTACTAATTAGGATAAATATACATGTAGAATTAGCTTGCTATCGTATACAAATGATGATAGTAAGCTGTAAGTTGGCAAGTAGAGCTTGCTTTCCTTTTTCAGAGGGCTACTTAACAAAAATACCCAGGCCTGCTTGAATTGCAAAAGGCTACCTATCTCTAATGGCTCTTACTTGAAAATGCTACATTGTCACAGCATTTTTTTTTTACGCTTACTCCTATGATTTTTTTTTTTTTCCACAAGATTAAAACTGTATTTATTTTGCAGTAAGGAAAATATTCATCAGATTATGGAAAATGAGTGAAGCATGGCAGCCTCTGCCCATGGAGAAAGATATCTAAGGAAATACCACAAGCTTAAATACAAACCATTGTTTTATTTGTATAGATGAGTATTACAGTTATTCTTTGATTTCATATAGGAAGAACACATGACAAATATTTGGTGGGTTTTGCTTACAACTGTACAATAAAACCTGCAGCACATATAGAGGGATTTCCATGGTATATTTACCATGGTTTTTAACTGCCTTGCATTTCAGTAAAACCACATTAATTTAAATAAATGTGCAGCACTGGTGTTTCTTTACATATTAATGCTGTAATCTTCTTTCTCAGTTTACAGATATAGATTACTAAACATTTTGGAATTAATCACAGACAAACTGACGCTCATTTTCTCCTTGCTTCACATAAAAAGCAAACACCGAGATTTAATTACAGATAAAGGTAAAAGCTGAATCATGATTTTGGTACTTCTGTGTAGTGTACTTCAAAAAGTTTCACTGTACTAATTGATGCATTGCATCTGTCGACCAGGTGTTTAATTCACACTTTGCTGGAACAAGCAACTCTCCTAACATGACCCTCCCAGGTGCTGGGTGACACACAGGTAATAACCACGTCTGGTTTCCATGCAGCTTTGCTTGGCTCTGTGCAAGCTGAAAAATGAAGTTTGCCATGCCATCCTAGCTTTAAGAAAAACTTTGCTTTTCCTGACTGTATAACCTGGCTCTCAAATTATTACCTTTCAGGATCGTTAAAGAAATTACCACTGAGCAACTGAAGACACGGTTCTACAAGTAGAATGCAAAGTCTATACTTAGCATTTAAAGCAGAGTCAGGCTTGCTGTTGCCAACTTGATCTCAGAACAATAAAGGCTATTTAACATAGGCTAAGTATGGATGCTTATTTAGCCCAACTTCATTTGGATGGTTGCTCAATGCAGGGCTGAAAGTAGAATCAGATGAATATGATAGACAGTATTTTATATTTTATTTATAACCTACATGCTTTCTCTGGAACATTAAAATAAAACTGGAAAGGAAAGAACATTAGAAAAGGTCCTAGGAAAAGACAATATTTATGTAGTAACCTCCCCCCCACCTCATTCATCAGCCTAAAATTATGAAGTGTGAAACTTCAGCATAAAATTTAACGAGACATGA